CGGGGCCTTCAAAAACCCATACGTGCAGCGGTTCCCCTTCGTGGCTCTCATGACCGTCTGGCTGCTCGTCATCAACCAGGGCAAATGGAAACAATTACCTGTGATGACGACCATCGCCATGTCCGGGTACATCACCAACTACTTCAGCACGAAGAGGCTAGGCTCCAACTCACAGGTCGCCAACACCGTCGGCGCCTTCACCATCGGCATCATGGGCAACCTGTACAGTCGCCTGTGGCACGGACACGCCGCCACGGCCATCCTTCCCGCTATCTTTGTGCTGGTTCCCTCGGGCCTAGCAGCGTCCGGGTCGCTGATTACTGGCGTGGCGTCGGCCGATCAGATCCGGCACAATATTAGCAGCCCCAGCGGGACGTCTCAGCCGGGGGCGGGTCTGTCGACCAATTCGTCGGTGTGGACGCTGGCGGTTGGGATGGTTCAGGTGGCGATTGGAATCACGGTTGGGCTGTTCATAGCTGCGTTGGTGGTGTATCCGTATGGCAAGCGACGGAGCGGCTTGTTTAGTTTCTAGCATGTCTATCAGTACGAATTGGCCGCTAGGTCTACGGTGGAGGGCGAATTTAGATAATAACTGCTACAAATATTGCTCGCAATGCACGAGTATCCTTATCCCGTTGTCTTTTAGAAAGGGCCGAGACTCGTCCAGTTCGGCCCTGCCACGAGATCCCGGCGCACCACGTTTTAGTAGACGCATAAACCATGAACGTTGATGATCCTCCTCGTCTCACCTGCCCTCGCATAAGGAGTCGAACGTTTCGTTCTGCCGGGTGAATCACATCGGCGAATTTGGTCGTGGTGTTGATGTCGACGTTGATGCCATGGCTGTTGTCGGCATTGTTAGACTGAGAATGGAGGAATCAAGCAAAAGATCAGGAGTCTGAGAGGGATCATGTAAGACAGGCTCTATGGGTCTGCTGGATTAAGCTCTCTTGGCATCGCCCTGTAGGGCTGAAGTTCAGTACAGCGTGGACTACTTTCCCATGCACTGAGCTACTGGAATATCTCCGCCCGGATCCACATAGTGCTATTCGTTAAATAAGGTGATCGAGATACTATGTACTACCGCAGGCTACTCTCTCTTCTTTTCCTCTCCACTCAACGCCTTGATCAACTTCACACCCATCTCCTCCGCCGTCCAGCGCTGCTCGTCCCAAAATTCTGCCTCCTGTTCACTCCCATACGCCATCTCCTTGTGCAGCGTTGCCGACTTGGTTTGTACAGGATCCGTCGGGGACGAGTCCGTCGAGGAGCTATACACATCCACATGGTCATTGAACCGCACCCGCGGCTTCCCGTTCCCATGTACCCTCCTGGCACAAAACGTCTCCAGGTAGCTCTTGCGCACGGCGTAGCGTTTGGCAGCTTCGCGGCGGAGGGTGCCTGAGCCCAGCTTCTGGAGTCCTGTGCGCACGGCAAAGCGAACCGCAAGGTATACCTGTTGAGCGATGAACAGGACCAGCAGCAGCGAGGACATGTGGACGTCCTTCATCCCGTTGCGGTAGAGATAGACGATACTTGCTGTCGAGAGAGTGCCGAGCCATGTCAGGAACTCCAAGCCCTGGAGGGACGGGCCGATCGAGTCCGCGCGGATGGGTGGTGGGCGCTGACATTCGAGGGTGAGCTTGAAGAAATCGCCGCGCAGCTCGAGCCAGTTGTTGATCAGGAAGAGCAGAGGGACAAGCGGCCAGGCGACGCCGAAGAGGGCGAGGTACCCGTACTGCACGCACATCTCGAGCGTGTCTTCGTGGACGTTGTACTCGTCCGCTTCGGCTTCGTTGCGGACCTGAGTGAGGAATGCTGCCTCCGAGGGTGGATCGATCAGGAGAAGATCGGTCATTTTAGAGTAGCGGCGTGGACGGCCTGCTTGCGTTTTCTGGAGGCGGTAGTCGCGCCACTTTCTCCAGAGGACCTTTTTCACGTACGGGAGGATAACCTCCTCGCCGAAGCTTAGGACTTGGCCTGTCACGGACAGGTAGATTACTTCCTGCTGGAACCGGGAGGTGTCTACCTGAAACTCGGGTGATATGGCCGAGTGAAGGCCCCTGACTTGAAAGATGTCCAGGTAAGGGATGATCTTCGCACCAAAGGGGACATAGACGAACGCAGTCAAGATAGTTGGGAGGAACGCGGTAATAAAGTTCATCACGAAGGTCTTTGCCGTCTGCGCGAGATCATACTGATCTTGGGTGCGGTAATTCTCATACTCCGTCAGTTGAGTGGCAATGTCCGTCAGCTTCGAGGTGATTGTCGGCAGCGAGAGAGAAAACAGCACAGTCGGAACAAACTCCAGATACCCTTTGAGCGGGCCCACGTAAACCTCCGAAATGAAAACTTCCAGGGCAAAGGTGACAACAATCAATGTGCCGAGCGCTACAGTGGCAACCGTAGCAAAGGGGATAAGCAGGAGTTGGCGTAGCAGCTGCTTTCGCATGGAGAACATGCGGACGGTTTCTCCTGTGATAGGGTCCTGCACCTCCCTGTCCCAGACATACTGCGGCCGGTTGACCTTTAGCGCTCCGACCCCTTTGACATTCCATTGCAGGCTCAAGTCTGTCTCGCGGATCTTCCAGTACTCGACGAAAACGATGCACCAAAGACAGTTAACCAGTGCGCAGTTGATAGAGTAGGGGCCGAAATATGACCAGCAGATGACTCCCCATACGGCTGGGACTACCAGAAATAATGAATAAGACTGGATAAACGCAAAATAAAATGCCGTCTGCCAACATCAGCTTGGTACTATCCTCATTTTTGTGACCACTAACCTTCTCGCCAAACAAGGCACGAATCGCATCTAAATCCTCATCGGTCATCTTCACCGATCGACTCATCTTACGCAGCAGCTCGGCATTAGCAGCCCGATCATGAAGCGGAAACCCGGACGCAATGTTTTTCCATTTTCCTATCCTCGGAGTGATGCCAGCACCACCCAGATGTCTCTGCCACGTTACAGCGTGATAGACCGATCGGAGTTCTTCAGCGGGGGTTTCGGCATCGGCGTAGTCGCTTGCAACAGGAAGTTCATGGACGACTCCATACAGCCAGTCTTTTACTCTGGTGAAGTCAGTCGGTGAAGACAGCAGCGTATAGGCGGCGAAGTACCTCGACTCGTAAATCATACGTCCTAAGTGGTCGCGGGGGACTCGAACACAGACCAACAACGAAGCTCCATCACCATGTCTGACTTGGATTTTGAGTCGTGCTGCTTTGAGATCATGGATCAAATTTTGGAACTCCTCGATTGCTCGAGATGTGTCTGCAGGGTAGTCTCAGTGCGTCAGTGCATTTACAAAGGACAAAGATGGTAAGTCCAGGGACGTTACAAGTACGAACCGACTTCTTCGAACTGATAGTGGATCACCCAATCAACACCAAGATTGTCGAACTCCGTGTGGTCAAATCGATGATTGTGGAAGAAGAGAAGAGCCATGTTTTTGAGGAACTGGGGGAAGAAGAAGCGGTGTGTGGACTGTGGAGAGGAGAATGAAGTGCTTCGATGTGCATTAGTCAAATAGGATTTCAAGAACCTTCACCATGCTGCATTAATTAATACAAAGATATTCCTGTTTAGACACGACGCAGAAACACATGCATTGATTCTGGTCAGATTGTCCCATGAGTCTGCGCTCTGCCATGATGATCCGAGTGACTCAATTAGCTATATCTCATAAATACAGAGGCCTAACTAGCAAGTATAGTCTCCCTCACCCCTGATGCATGCTTTGATAGTGACTCGTCAACGGACATTCTCATTGTTGTCCTAGTGGATCTCCATTTAGGCATCACCATTTTCGAGCGAGCCGAGGATCCGTGCCAAGCGCCAGCCCTACAGGGCGCATACCTAAGCTTTGCTGGTCGAGGTTAATTGATGCGGATAAGTCAAGGGTCGAAGTGAAGTATTCGATCAATTAAATCCATGATATCATTGCTCATACCGAATAGAGTCATGCACATCAATAACAACAAGCATAACCACTTGTGACACGGCCGTTAGCACGACCAACTTCTCCGAGATGAGCGGCACATATTTCTGCAGGGATGTAAAATGCTAGGACATGAACCACATGGTCCTATTCAATTAGTAGGTACGCCAGACAGTTGGAGTCCTCAACCTACATCTCATAGACTATTGAAGGAAGCTTCTTCCACAGTCGCCAGCTGGTGTGAAGTATGAACATTGTCCCTCCGGTTACTACGATTCCCGCCCCGACTGTTAGATGGGTTCGTGTCCTGTATGATCAACATCAGCCTTACCGAGGACCTTGCTTGATGTTTCAGTATTCACAGACACTTACACTATGCTATGGGTTATTGCCATGACAACAACGAGAGATTGATTGTTCTTCGGTACTAACTTGCCAGCTACTCCGTCCTTTGCAGCGGTTATATAGTTGTTCTCTCCCATACATTCTCGCTCTTCCCTGCCCAGACTACTCAGCTTCCGACTCTACACGGTTTCTTATATAAGTTGTTGCATAGTGTCTATCTTTGTAAAAATCCACGGTAGCATGATAAAATTGTATAGAACCATAACTTGGCACAAGAAATGCTGCTGCCTGCGCCTAACGAATTGAAGGGTGGTAATCTCCATACCATAAAATACCCGAAGCTGGGCCGAATCCCTCGCTTTTTATCTAATTGTGTAAGTTATTCCGTATCGAAGATGTAAAATACCTTACTGCCGTGAACCGGAACAGCCAATCATCGCCAAACGTCCAGTGATAAATCTCCAACTATAGCAGCAAGGGCCAGAGTGAGGCAAGGCATCCATTTTCTCCAGTTGAGATATGGATAGGCGGTTTCTTACTTTTCCCTTGGCAAATGAGTAAACAAGGTCCATGAGTGGCAACAGCCACAGTCGAAGCATAAATTCACCCATCTTCCAATGTGGCTGGTCTCAAGCAATGAGTTTTAGGGCATCCGAGAGCGACAGCGCTTTCTAACGTTCCTAACTATCTACCTGAGCCAAGTACCTCATCATGCTCAATTGCATCACCAACACCGTCAATGTTCACCAGCTCCTCTCGACATCCCTTGACCTCATGGCTCGCAGGGTACTCCCCGGTCCGAACGTGGCCTTTGGGTTGAGCCTGTTCCTCTTCACGTTCATGTTCCTGCCGACGCTGGTGATGCTCTTGGCCGTCATTGTGTTCTTTGCGTTCTACTATCCGAGGTTAAGGAAGTTGACGGCCGTTCACAACGATGACTATGAGTGAGGGGTGTACGACCGGCTAGATGTTGTGAGTAGCCTTTGAAGGATCAAGTATCACGGATATGGGTGGGGTACTGACAGGTCAAGAAGTATATGTACAGTGCACGATGCATTTGGTTTGGAGTTACGATGGTTATTGGAGTTTTGGAGTTGGTCTTTTCGATAACCAGATAGCCGACACAGCACATGCGTCGATTTTATAACCAGTCCTGCTACTTTCGCTACCATCGGGGGGTATACTATATTCTCTCACTTTTACTGCGGAGAAAAGTGCAAGACAGCAGAGGGATGCAGCCACGCATACTGCTATGAGATTGAAAGCACTATCTTCATGAATCTGGCACGAAGCATCGGCGCTTGAGCCATGACGGACATTAAGGCTGTGGGATAGCCAACGGTTGTTGTCGCCTGCGACAGCACTACTCGGGCGTGTCGTGTACGGTTAGTACAGAGGGAATTCCACTGGCTTCAGGACATACATGACAATCGCAAAGGTGGTAATGCACCTTTTAGCAGCATGAGAAAAGTCCCCCAAGTCTACGTCAAGATATGGCCGCCATGTCAACAACTGCGCATACTACGACATTCAAGTTGCACTGTGAGGTTGAGAACACTCTGTGGGCAATTAGTTGCTTTGTCATTTCTTAATCTTTTTCACTAAAATATCTTAGCTACTCGTCAGCTTTAATCTCAAGAAACTGGCAATGATCGGCTTATACTAGGTATTCCGATTAATCCTCCTGCTATGTCCTCTCTAGAAACCAAGCCAAAGTAACTTCAACACACCCACTCCTATACATATATACTCCTCCAACACCAGTTGCTGCTTGAGACAGGATTATTATTTATGATTCTTGATCTGTGTCCTCTGTCTTCAAAGCAAATAATATGTCTATTTATGCCTCAGGCACTTTTGTAGGAAACTGCTCCCATCTTGACTGAGGTTGCCTGTGATCGCGACTTCATCTTGCGGATGGCTGATGGCATTAATACTTGAACATTAATTTGTAGTCCCTGCGTGGGGGGATTGATTTCTGCTGTATTCTGCTGGCACACTTCTGTATCGCAGCGCGATAGATGTTGGGATTGTGAGAACAAGTCCCCCAGTGCTATTATCCTCCTTCAGGAGGCTGGCATATGTGATCTTAATATTGACTGTTGTAAGTGCAGGGGTATTTCCCACGCTCGTCTCGAAAACCTCCGGCGCTAGCTCTTCAACCAAGACATTTACCTTGCGTTGGGAGACAGCATGTTTAAAATCTGCCCTCGTCCGTCCCTCTATCGCCCGCTCAACCCGTTAGCCTCCCCATCAACGTCGCCATCCACAATCCGGCAAATACACCAGTGACTTTCCTCAATTGGGGGACCCCGTTCGATCCCAGAGCCAACCTCCTGGGCATCTTCCAGATCAATTACACCATCAAAATAAACTGTTGGCTACCTCCTCCCGGGATGACCTGGTGGAGATCCCTGCAGAGAGCTCAAAGGAGCAGACCGTGACTATTCCCTGGATTCCCCTGGAAGAAGGCCACGAGTACACGGTTGAAGCAAAGGGCATCTGGCATGGGATCTGGGCGTGTACGCGGGACGAAGTGACGAACTTGCAGCTAGAGAGCCTGGGCGAGGGAGAGGCGAGGGGGAAGTTTGAGTCCGAGCGTGTCGTCTTCAAGGTTACTCGGTAGCACAAGGCGACATATTATCTAGTTAGTATAGTGTTTGACACTTCTCTGGGTCCGCTTCCTGGCCCCAGCGTACTAGAAAATTTCGATGTCGATCATGCATAACTATTGTTTATTTCAAACTGTATACTATTTACTGCTGTTTCCCAAATATTAAGTACCATTTACCCTCCACTGCCACCCCCAACAATAGCAAGGATCCAGTATTGGCTGATAGGTGGCAGTATACAAAAGGGCAAGTATCATTGCCTGTTTTATAATAGTTTTATTTAGTTTGTCTTAGGAATCTAAGGGCCAGAGATAGTACTTTCTTCACCCCTAATTGAGAATACCAAGTCCCTTACTATATTTACATGGATATCTTGCGAAACCCAATACATAGTGCGGGAATTTAAGATTCCGGCTAATAATGAAGAACAATCAGGAAGCATAAACTATTCCCAGCCGTCTTCTCTTCCCATAACTGTCCCAAGACGAAGAGAAGACAAACGAGCAAGAAAAGAAGTCTATGAACACCTGTTTAATGTAGCAGTTTGTGACTAACACACGGGATAGGTTGGTCGCTTCCTGTTAAGTGCTCCTCTTCGCTCCGCCCAAGTCATTGTGTCAACCCATCCCAGCGGCAGACCTAAGATGGCGAAGACCACGAACTTTATTCGTTATGCTCCTTTGTCTTCCATGTCGTCGCAACTTCATCACAATCCTTCATGATCTCATTCCACTGCATTCGACTCCACCGCTCTGGCCTTTCGACTGCGTCCACAAAATGTTTCATTGCAAGCACCATCTGCGCCGACCAACGCTCCTTGCTAACCTTCCCAATACCAGCAGCCAGGGGTGTCATCAAGAGACGATTAATTTTCTCTTCAGAAGCCCGATTATGCCCCTCGACCTCACATAACAAACTCCAGACACTCTCATAGACAACCTCCCGGTCCCAGACGACATTCATCGGCTCCCGCATAGTAGGACAGATAGCCACCCAGGCACAGCGCCGCGAATTCTGCTCCAGCGGGACAGGAAACTGCACAAGCGTGCATGTGCCCCGGGGGGCGAATCCTCGCCATTTCTCGTATAGCTTCAGCTGCACTGCGCGCATTAAGGCTTCGTAGTCATCGCGTGGGCTGAAAGCTAATGAGATGGCGTCGTCGAAGGCCCCATCTAGACGGCCATACGAGTTTGCAGGTGAGACAATCAGGTCGAAGGTTACTGAGGGGTCAAGCCGGTTCAGGCGTGAGTTGATCGGGGTGATCGTGAGCTTTGATGGTAACTCAGGCCAGTGCTCTTGCTGCGCTGCTTTGAAGGCGGTGATAAAGTCTGCGTCCTGGCAGAGCAGGATGATCTCCGGGGTGTTGGCAATCATATTGTTGTAGTGTTGACAAATAATGTTACGGTTTAGTTAACTAGTTAGTGAGTGACTCTGAGTCGCTTATGTAAATGTCCAACCTCATTGAACAGTAAATATTCATGCAAACAGAACAAACATGATGGGAGTTCTGGCCAGTCACGGCCAGATACTCTCAGACTGCTCCAGCTGTCCGAGTGGGAAGAGGAAGAACTTATGCCGAGGATCGCCGAGCTGTATACACGATTTAATTGAGGCGCGTCACAATCAACAACTCGGTTGTGGCTAAGGACACGGATGAAGACCTCGTTCTGGCCCCCAGTTTCCACTGGAAAAGCTGTTCTTGGGGGATAGGCTGGAAAACATCCTTTCGACGAAAGGTTTCACAATATACTCGGCGAACTTTTCTAGCGCTTCGTGGAGATTGTTCGTTTGTTTAAGTTCCCATGAAAGAAAATGGTCCAAGTACGATAAGGCGCGAGCAATGTCGGAATCAACCGCAGGTCCCTCTTCCTGACACAATTCCTCGTAGAGGTATAAGAAGGAAGGTAGAAATGTACAGTACCTGGAGACGCAACGAGTTCAGGAGTAGCCTGCTTGAGTGCCCTAGGCTTATACCCTTTCCGAACGGGATTTTCTGGGCAATAATGCCGCCGTGGCCTGTTCTCTATTCATTGTAACCTACCTATGAAATTGGGAGACGCCCGCTCAGGCTTCCTATCAACAGACTAATGCCTAGCTATCACACCTCACCCAGACTGTCGGGTCTGGAATGTAGTATTCCGGACTAGTTAGAGGCTGCTGGCATTGCGCTAGTTCCAAAGAATCATACCCCTCATCAGTAGTTCCCAACCTTCCGCCTCTATGGCCTTGACAGTGTGGACTTAAGCAATTCAGCTTTGGGGTCAGCTGCCTCCTAGGGTGATCTCTATTTGCTGTAGTGTCGGTTTCAGTATTTCCCGAGAGTCTTAGTTATCTGCGCGAGTCCAGGCATATCTTGTGGGCAATATGTGTATAAATACTTTGATTAACCTGCCAGGAAATGTGGTTGTCTTCTCTAGAGCTAAACCAAACACGCGACTTCACAAGCTCAATCCAAGAATCCTTTTATATAAAAACAAACTCAAACAAATTCCTGTCTCTTATTCATGCGTTCATTCCTGCTTACAGTGCTGGGCCTGGTGGCAACATCATCTCTCGCGGCTCCCAAGGTAGCCGCTCAGGAGGGCATCAGTGCTTTTGAGGCCGTGAGGAAATTAAAATTAGTACCTCAGGGATATGTCCACATCGCGGATGACGGAGTGGCACGATCTTACGACGAGAACGAATCCGTTATTGACTATGTTCCCTTGACCAATGACCAGCTTAAACAGTTGCTCTCGAACCTTCCAGAAGCATGGCAGAAGGAAGCAGATCATTTGCACGCTGTTTTCGATAATGTCGATGGACGTCAAGTTATAGATGAGAAACAGTTGCTTGACCCTCCTGCTGAGCTTCGAAATCCCATGCCTCGTCAGGCACTTCAGTCTAAGCGCGATGTCAGCCCTCTCCTAGAGACCGACTATTACTGCAGAGGTTAATCTTGCACTGGTGATGAGGCTGGCCAATTTATGGGCTGCGCAGGTTGTACTAAGGTGGATTTGGCCTTTCCAGGAGCAGCGGGTTTTTGCTTTTAGGGAAAGCATACTTTCTGTTGCCCTCGCACCTTGCTGCCTTCCTAGATAGGCTAGTGCTTCCCATAGATGTTGCCTTATCTTATTCCTTCTTCATGAACGATAGTCTACACACATCCTAGATAGTGCAATCATATCTTCATTCTTCACTCATGTCGTTGCCGAAGCCTTCCTCAGATTTAGTCAAAAGCAGAGCCGTCGGATCTGCGCAAACTGTTTAAATGACCATTATAAAAGGTGTACGCTGGATATTTAGGTGACTGGTTCAATGTATCAGATTACTTATACCTCTTTTCAGGGCATGTGACCACTGGTCATCACATCAGCACTTCCTCTCTGCATTAGCTCTAGTATCAGCTTCCCCTCACCACATCTCTCAGAGAAGTCTTCACCTCCTTTCAACTACACACTCTCTATTATACAGTACAATCAAGAGATTCATCATATCACACAAACAGATCACTTGAGTCATGTCTTGCATAGTAAGAGTATTTCTGACGGCTTGCATCTGTACAATACTAACACCGTAATAGAAAGATGATGAGCCATCGCCCTTTCCACCCCTCAAACGCTCACCATCGCGCCAAGGCTTCGGCCACCTTGCTACTGATGGAGTGTTACGCAGTTTTAGCTCGAGTGGCGAGGTAATAGATTATAAGCAATTAAGCCCAGCGGAAATTGCAAAGATACTGGAATTCTTTGGAAAATATATGGATTCAGAGGCTTTTGAGAAGTCTAAATTTGACGGTGTGGACGGCAGAAATGTGACTGATTTGGAGCAACTGCTTCATCCAGGACCAGGAATTTGTCCAGCGGAATTCAACAAGTAAAGATCATACAATTTTTGTGTCTTCTATCAGCCTGTCTCGCCCTTGTTTCTATGTCTTTTAGTAGCCGACTAAGCTGGCTGCGTTATTTCAGTTGAAGACAATCCTCTCTGCTAGGACATGATAAAGCTTGTATTGCTAGTTTGATCCTTCGCTGCAATGTATTGGAAACTTAGGGCTCAGTCAATTATGTGCTACTATATGTCATTTTTGTCCACGTACCATGCAATCACCAGGCATGAGTCCCATCATGACGAGTGAGCCCTCATCACGGTACAATCGTCGGATGAGAGAGTAATAAGAGACGACGAATAGGCGAGAAAGCAAATGATGGGGAAATTTGCTTTCTTCTGCGAAGAAAAAATCAACGGCCATCCCTTGACTAGTGTATAGTAGCATTACTGCCTAGCTCGTTGAGAATACTGTCCTAATATGGTGATAAGACGTCGAGATAGATTTTGACCTTTAGCAACTAACTTACTCGTGGAGGTTCAAAACGAAGTCCACGTGCGGGCCTCCTGCTTGCACACCCTCCGGTGCCATAGCTGCACCTGGAATACATGGACGGCCCAGATCTGCGGAGCTTTGACTTCTGGCCTCATCTGGGCCAGATATATCGTTTACAGTGCCTGTCAAGTCAGCTGGGGAAACTCCATTAACTACAGTGACCGCGACGGCTTCATGAGAAGAACAATCAGACCAAGCTTTACTGTGGACTATTGCACTGCCAGCATCAGCTATGGTAGGAGTAGGGCGCTGCTCGCCTGAATGAAGTTGGTCTATTAGGCGCTGGCGACTCCTCAATTCGTTCTCAAGGGACGCATTTTTCAAGAACTAGGCCAAAAGCAGATTAGTATTTAATATCATGTAGAGATTCTCACCTTGACGGATTAGCAAGTTAGTGCCAAGTAGTTCATGTAAAGCCATCTCAGTCAATCTTAGTCCTGCTTCACAATCCTCTCTGTCTGGCCAAGGAGACAGGAATCAGCAAGGTCGACCAGAGCGAATAAGCTCCAGGTCATCGCCCACAACCTCGGCGAGGCTTTCCCCTGCTTTGAACTGCGATGTTCCATCAAAGTGAGGTCCAGCAGAAAGAATAAGTGCTGTCCAGGTGATCGCTAGGCCTTGTATCACCTTCAGGGCTTCTATTGAGAAAAGAACTGAGAGGCTTCTGTCCAACCAAACTTCCCCTCAACCAAGGGCAATACTGCCGCCCTGCTGCAGTACAATTCGATAATTATCCAGTACAATCAGAAATCCAGGCACAAAGATATCGGCACGGTTGAGGGAGTTCTCATAAAGCAGTGATTCATGGCATAGAAAGGCCACCGTTTCCGGCATAAAAGCCACGCATAACCATGTCCTTTCCGTCGTCACCCAGACTTACTCTGGTACTAAATTTTTGGCTAGTGGCCGCTGGACTAGCCCCGTTCCAGATTGTGTCGATGACGGGAAATGTCCGACTGATCCACCGTCAGAATATTGAGCGTTCAACTACAATTTTTAGCATCTTATGATGTCTTCTTGTGTACCTCTCGTATTACTTCATTAATAGCAACTTTTTACGTGTTGGTATGATTTACGTATGCTCGATTTTAGATGACGTATATTGTTAAGCAAGCACGCGACACGCCCATTTCGGTGCTGACACAGCCACAGAAATTCAACCACAGAGATGGAGAAACTCACCCCTGATGTTGCCTCAGCCAATCACAAGCAAAAATCTATTTCTAGCCGGAGAAACAAGGGAAATCATTGGACACCAGCCTTATAGGGATCTTGGAATCCACTCAGCATCCTCAGCACATTGCTGGGAATTTGGAACCATGATTCAGCAATCAGCCGTGGTCGATCAATTTATTAATCTCGAAAATGGGAACGGCCTCCTCTAGAGGTTGAGAGTGGCGCGAAAGGGAAATCTACTTAAGCTGCGATGGTTGATTTTAGAACACAAGAGAATTACAGAGCAGGATACACAAGTAGGACAGCAGCTAAGGATGACTTCAGATGACATTCAGCGTGTCACCAACAACTACCATACCATTTGTAGAGAAGAAGAAAAGTGAAGCGTGATTGATAACAAAGATGAGGCGGAGTGATAGGCTAGCTGTGGTTCTATTGTGGCTTATGTGCCGTGTCATAGGCTGTTGCGGAGCCCACTTCATTCCAGGACAAATGATGATCATCTCGAGCTTGGCAAGCATCATCGGCGCTCGCCAGGTGCCAAGCTCCTCATATAATGGCCCGTTTCTCCTTCTCTCACTGAGAGTTTGGTCACTCCCTGCAAGCCCAGCTTCTCTTCTCGAAGCTTGATTTGCTTCTTTTATTCTCTTAAAGTGCTTTTTATCATAGGCCTGTTGCCTTCCATACTGATTTATCCGCAACTCTTCTTCTGAAATACATGCGTAAGTTGCCCCTGACCATCCCTTTCTCTACGGTTGTTTCCTCCAGAATAATATAATTTCTTTACATTTGCGAAGCACTTTTTTCTTGCTCAAGTTTGCGCTGTCTCAGATCTGCATAACATAGTGGGCAAAGACACAATTCCTGTCAATTTTAGACTGACGCATTCTCTCCTTGCATACAGACCGGATTCAATCGTGGGCGAAAGCTCACGCGACCCACCGCAGCTCAGCTCCCCAAGATCCTTCCAAACAGCCGACCAACGAGACCCAGGCCTCGGAGACCGCAGAACCTCGACATAATGGGCGATTGAAGGAACAGTCTGGGGACCTGGAGGGTCCAGAATTCAACCCCCAAGATGAACAGACCACAACCAAACCAAGACTCGTTGTCCGCATGAAACATGGCATCATCCGTTTTGGAAGACATACCAAGGAAGTTCTATTCCATAGCTGGGTCAATGTCCTGCTGGTCTTCGTGCCCGTCGGTATCGTCGTCGAAGCGATAGGGTTAAATCCGGCGGTGATTTTTGCGATGAACGCGGTTGCCATCATCCCTTTGGCCGGTATACTGAGCCACGCTACTGAGTGTGTTGCCAGCCGTCTGGGAGACACGGTCGGGGCACTCATTAACGTTACATTTGGAAATGCCGTGGAGTTGATTATCTTGTAAGTTGCGACTCTACTATTTCGCGGGTTCTAACTAACATTTATTAGCATGTAAGCTTCCATTGACTCCTTTTCTGCCTCTCAGCTGTAAATAACTTGGTTTACCCGACCAGCATTGCACTCGTCAAGGTACATCACTCTCAAACCTACTTGTTGATCTAGCTAACAACCAAGTGCAGAACGAGATAAGGATCGTCCAGGCCTCCCTGCTAGGCTCCATCCTAGCTAATCTACTCTTGATCCTGGGAATGTCTTTCCTCCTGGGAGGTCTTCGCTACCAGGAACAGGTAGGATACTCTAGCACGCAATATCAGGCCCGTGCTGATTGTCTCTAGATTTATAACAGCACAGTCACTCAGATGAGCGCATGCCTTTTGAGTTTGAGTGTCACCAGTCTTCTCCTACCTGTTAGTATTTCGCCGAATTTTACACCACATAAACATGCTGATTATTACCTGACTAGACTGCATTCCATGCATCTTGGTCGAACAGTGCATCGGCCGACAGAAACACTCTGAAAGTTAGCCGTGGAACCAGTGTGGTAAGCATTGCTCTGATCAGCAAATGTCTATGATTCTCATGTTGTGCAGGTGCTGCTTCTCGTCTATATTCTCTACATCATTTTTCAACTCAAATCCCACTCCTATCTTTACGCGAGCATCCCACAGCAGATCATTGACGAAGAGTCTCACCCTGGTGTCTTGGCGGAGTTTATGAACAGCTCTTCCGATTCATCAAGTAGCTCGTCTGATGATTCCGATGACACCACAACATCATGGACAACCGCAAAGCGTATCAAACGAGCGATGAGACATCGCCGACGTCGAAAGTCCAGCACGAGCTCCAATCATACTGCCTCTGGCACCCTTAGCAAGAAGCATTCTGGCGATACAGCCCGTCCAGTGCTGAATGAGAAGAGCAGCTCTACCGAGGGACCTACTTCCAACCATTCAATCGCCATTGATTTTGCGGATGATGGTCACTACGAAGCAGATGATGATAAGCGAATCAATGAGCCTCGCTCGATAGATTTTGGCCCGCGGTCAATTGGCGAGCAAGGTACATCTACGAAGGATCGCAAAGCGAAGAAGCGAAGAGGCAAAAAGCACAAAGCCCACAAGGAAGACAATGTCAACGCCTTGGACACTCCATCGATTCATCCGTCCCTGCCATCTCACCTGTCTGCACCTGGTACCGATGGCAACAACTCTCCTCAGCCGGCCGATGTTGCTGCCGCGCTCCCGAAGAGAAAATCTCCATTTCTTCCCACGATACCATCTTTACTATCCAATACAGTCTTTTCAAACACTGCTGCTTCAAACAATCTCGTTCAGTCGGCTCCTGGAAATCCTGGTCTTCGACGCACGCGGTCTCTTCCTTCTCACATGAATCGTCCTCCCCCAGTTGGGAACGCGGTCCAGTTTGCTAGAGGCGCTGCTCGTATACCAACTACGGTTGATGTCACGGCTAACAATGCTCCTCCTGAGCACAAAGAATCTGAGATATCACGCACGGCTGCCGTGGTTATGTTACTGGTGTCAACTGCGCTTGTCGCAGTATGTGCCGAGTTCCTAGTGGACGCCATCCCAGACATGATCGAAAGCTCATCTGTCAGCGAGGCGTTTATTGGTCTGATCATTCTGCCCATTGTCGGTAATGCTGCAGAACACGTTACTGCCGTCAGTGTGGCCACCAAGAACAAAATGGATTTGTCCATTGGCGTGTCAGTGGGAAGCAGTATTCAAATCGGTGAGTTAGCAATATGCCTGTATGGTTTCAACTTTCTGACGGGCCCTAGCGATTTTCGTCACACCCCTGGTGGTCATTCTAGGCTGGTGCATGGACAAGGACATGTCTCTGTACTTTACCCTGTTCGAAACCATCTGTTTGTTTGTGACTGCTTTTGTGGTCAACTTTCTGGTTCTGGATGGTCGAAGCAATTACCTTGAGGGCGCGCTGCTTATTGCCGCCTATGTTATCATCGGGTAAGTTTTTGCTTTTTCTTTAAAAAAAGAAAGAAAAGAAAGAAAAAGAAAAAGACATTTTACTGACTGTACTTCAGTGTTGCGGCGTTTTTCTATCCTGGAAGTGACCAGTCTGCCGATATTGCAAGCCATGGTTCGAGTTAACCGGATTTGTAGAGAAACTTGGTGCGGATACGATTTTGCAGGCCATCATTGCTTGTCATTATATGATCCTTAGTGCTATGAGTGATTCCACGCTGATATGATTAGGGTGGATAAAGCCAGTACAACTTGAAGCTTTGACTCACTGCATATTGGCTGGACAACGGTCAGGAGTTTCTAATGTATCTACTTAATCAGAATACATTCACCTTTTTTTATCCATTCATATGTCGGTCACTGTTTATCGTAAACTCTAACAAAATACTACCTTAAACCACTTTGCGATGTTCGAAGCCTATAATATCCAGCCATCAATGTCCATGTCCAGCTCACTCTGTTGACCTCTAGTCTGTATCGTTCATCTCAAAGATCAACTTCATAGGCCCCACATCCATCCCTGAATGGAGAGCAGAGCAATATCTTCCGTCAGGGACATTCCGGAAACTCCAGGACCAAAGTGGGTATCAATAAATGGGTAAATAATAAGAGGGACCTGTGGCTGGACACAAGAGTTCGACAGCAGTGCAGCACAAGGGACCACAGTCACAGCCACTCATTATGACACACGTGGCTTGTTCGAAAATACCTCACTCATTCTCCCTGCATCCTTATCCACTATGGAGTAGTACTCTGTCTATCTGTTACTTGCAGCCTAGCAAAACAGAAGACGGTCCTTCTGCCTGATTCCCTTGTCCGTCAAGGGACTATCCCTTATGTGGCTCGTTAAGGCTGAACCCGAAGCCGCTCCGCTGATACACCAGTGTGGCTAGTAAGAGTCCAAGAGGATCCGATTGGGTGAGGGCAGTGGGAGTGAGTCGAGAGCTCCACACACCAGCCTTGATGTGGCGCCAAACAGAGACAGACTGTGGATGTTGTCAGGTGTTTCGTTTCTTGCATTGCTAGTGGACGAGTCATATGGTCGGTTCAGTGTTCGTGATAAGAGGGGAATGGGATGGTTGGGTGTGGTACAGGCATGCCATGCCGCCTGAGCGGTTGAGTGTTGACGGTTAGAAGAAAATATACATTGTGCTAGCTGTCTGCGACTCTTGCGTTGAGAAATGAAAGTGGATTAGGGATATTATTAGCTATTATGACAGCTAGGGAGTAAGGGGTTGTCATTGATATACTCCGTACTAGGTATTGTTGATGTCCCATTGCCAGACAGAATGTATCTGCCTAATTGTTGGACTATCGACTGTTCCCCATCGAAACAAATAGCCCGGTGGATACACGTCTTAGTGTCGACAATCTGCTTCGAATCTATGCATACGGAGCGGCTGTACGCGCCGAGTGTATACAAATAATTTTTAAATAGTGGTAAATGTAATTTCGAGCTGTAGGTGTATAGATTATGCCCGCATAGACTGAGTGTCCCCTCCCCTCCTCAGGACCACATAAAAGGCTCGACGGCTGCTCAACTCGTCTCTTTTACTTTCTTGCTTTCTTTCCAGAGATAACTAGTGAACTTACCTTAACTACCAAATTGCGAGCGACCATGTCCTACTACGGAGAAAGGGATACCTACTACGGCGGGCCGCCTCAACCCACCTACGGCCGTCCTCCCTACGAGCAACAGCAACAACAACCACCCTACGGCCGGCCTCCCCACGACCGGCCCCCCTACGAGCAACAGCAACACCAGCCGTCCTACGATCGCCCTCCGTACGACCGGCCCCCCTATGAGCGTCCTCCCCCCGAACGCTCCCCCTCCTCCTTCGATCCATCCCGCCCTCGCTACGAGGGACCACCCTACAACAGCTCTTCGCCCGCACCTCCACCCTCCGCCCGCCCACCTCCAGGTTCCCCACCACCACTCCCCCTCGGCTGGGTCCAAGAATGGGAACCTAGTCTCCGCCGCGCGTACTTCGTCGAGACAGCAACAGGCCGCTCGCAGTGGGAGACCCCCATGCAAGACTCTGAGCACGCCAGGGGACTAGGTGGGCCCCCGCCGCAGTCGGCGGGCTACTATGCTTCTCCTCCTCCCCCGCCGCCGCAAGACGGAGGCTACTACCCCCCTCCCGGGGGCGAGTATCCGCCTCCGCAAGAGAAGAAGAAGTCTAGCGGGATGGGGAAGATCATTGCGGGAGGTGTGGCGGGTGTGGCGCTCGGTGCGGCCGGTATGGCGCTGTGGGACCATGAGAAGCGTGAGTGTTGCTTTTTGCTATACTGCTCTGAGTTTTGTGTTGCGAGTAGTTGCTGACTGATTTGTTATAGGTGAGGATGAAGAGGAGGAGGAGCTCAAGGAGCGGGTGGAGAGGTTGGAGGAGGAGAAGTACCATTCCGGCTCGAGTTCGGATCGTGAGGAGCGGGCTTACTCGCCTCCTGTGGATGATTGGTAGATGTTGGGGATGGGATGTAATGCATTGTTCTTTGTCTTCGATGGGTTTTGTGTGCTTGCATACGAGCAAGGCCGTTTAAGCAATTGATTGTCAGACGTGTTCGTTTAGTTTGAGCGGAGAATCCTATAAAAAGCATATCTCTCAAATTTAAGCGAGGCGGTGATGTCATAGAAGTAGCACATGCTTCGCGGGATCACTTTCAACGCTCCATCGGCCCATCCAAACATTGCTAGTACATATCATCTAGAACGGTGCTCAAAATGCCAAAATACGTGAGTTAATCCTGTCGCGTCAAGTTTTGCCTAGGTAACCCGAGCAGAGCCTTGTCATTCAATACGACAACGTCGAAACATGGCAGAAACACAATGGCGAGATTGAACGAATGTATGTACTCCGTATAGTCTGCGATCGCATCTGAACTGGCGACTGATATGGTGACAGTACGAAGGATGGGTTCGCAGCAAAAGGGGCTGATAAGTTCACGTTTTTCATTTCGACGAGAAGTCTCCCTCCTATACATACTACTTCGTATGGTTTTCTTTTCGGCCTTGAGGATATTGCTGACTGGAGGTGAAGATTCGTTGTACCCGATAACGTCACCCTGGACGAATTGAAGGAGGTGCAGTTCCCAAAGGGTGTCTCGGTGCAGTTACATCAGGAATCCTAATTTGATTATCATAAACCACTTATTTCACGGTCGTGTCCACCAATGAGCTAGCTTATTTCCAGCATAGAATCTCCCCATGGAGTAACCCAAACCAAGCCTCATCGTCCTTGACAAACTCCCTCCATCCATTCGCCATCTTCTCCAGCTCCTCCTTCGTCGCGTATCCATCCCCCACAGCCATCTTTGAAAACCCACTCGATCTCATCCTGGCTTCCATTGATCCACCCCAGTACTCCCTTTCCTCAGGACTACTAAAGCACCATGCCCCAGCGCTTTTCTTGATTCTCGGCTTGTCAAACCCGGCTTCCTCCGCCCAAACATGGATATACCGGCCAGGATGCGGATTCCCCCCCTTCGCTTTAGCCATAAGATCTGTAAGCTCTTTATATCCGGCGATTCCCGCGTTGTCAGGGTACCACGTCATCGACGCGGACTCCCTCGCCGCGACGATCCCACCGTCACTCTTCGCAACCCGGCGCATTTCCCGTAGTGCGCGCACTGGGTCCGCGATGTGCTGTAGCACCTGGTGGACATGGACGATGTCGAAGGTGTCGTCCGGAAAGTCAAGCGAGTGAATGTCGCCGACGCGAAAGTCGATGTTTGTGATTCCCTGTGTGGAGGCAAGGAACCGGGCTGCGTCTAATGGGTCGGCGACGTACTCGATGCCCGTGACGTGGCCTTGGGGGACGAGCCGCGCAAAGTCGATGCTGATGCTGCCCGGGCCGCAGCCTATATCCAGGATTTTCATGCTCGGTTTGATGTACGGGATGAGGTAGGCGGCAGAGTTGGTGGCGGTGCGCCAGCTGTGGGTTTGGAGAACGGAGGGGGAGTGGTCGGTGATGTAGACGGTTTTGTTAGACATTGTGGTTGTAGGTATGTTCCAGATTATCGATTGATGTGTGAGAAGGTGTTTACTTAGGCAAAAGAAGGGAGACAGAGAGCGGGGTTTTATGTCGAGCTGTACGATGTTGACGCAAGAGGACCATGTAGATTTCGCAGCTCCGATGATTTTTCGGAGTTCCGTAGGATCTTTTTCAACAACCATGAATATGCGCGCAAATAGCGAACACCATCATACCAAACTCGTCCACCCCCCGAACCCATTTTTCGAGCCTTTCCCGGCGTTCAGTCGACCCTGTCTCGGCTGATCGCCATAACTCCGATATTTCCAGCATCCCATCTTCCCATTCCAGGAGATGCCAGTCATATTCCTTTTCCCATACCCCTCGATCTGCGGCTTCCCAAAGTACCCTGCTTTCGGGGACATAGACCCCCTTAATTTCATCAGCCACAAAGTTTGGTAGACCCCGATCCGAATTGTAAATACTGCTGAACAGGTACATCGTATATAGGGCACGACGTTTGGCCGAGACCACTATCCAGGATTCCCAATTTGGCCGCGTATGAGTAATCTCCGCCGTGCAGAATAGACCATTCTGAGCAGTACGAAAGGCAAGCTCCATTAAGGTCATCACGGTCTTATCGGTAACTGTCGAGACGTTGCCGAGAGGGCTGAAGTACATCAAGATGGTATAGACAAGGTAGGCTTGGAAGGAACACAGGAGGTCGTAGTCATGTTGACTCATTGTCTGTACCGTCAGTTTATCAATCCACAGGGACCTGAGAGATAGCTTACCTCATTTGCCAGTCGCTCCATTTCCGCCTCCACTGTGCCCATCACCATCGTCTCGCTTCCTGGCGCGGCTTGCTCCCACATTCGGACAAGACTATAGCAGTTCGCCAGAGATTGCGGCAGATGATTCGTATTGACCTGCGTATGGTGTATAATTGGTGGGAATCCACCATCCTTCAGCATGGAACGTGGATATGTTTTGAGGATAATGGAAATGTATTGCAACGTAAAGGGGTGGTAGATCTTAGGAATCTCATCTCGTCCGAGAGGAGGGAGGAGATACGGTTTCAGCCATCGGTCTCGGATATCTACTGCGTTTGGACTAGGGGTCAAGTCGATATCTGTAAAGACGAGATCGAGGCGTCCGGTCTGTCCACTGGTTACAGGTCGAGGCCGGGGAGACCTGAAAGCCGCAGCTGGACCGGATTGGGGGACGAAAGACACAGATTCTGGAGCTGTAGCGGTGTCTACAAATCCATGTATGTCAAGCAGTTGTGTATAGTCTTCTCCTGCGTCGTTAGCGGTACCGGTGACCTCAATCTCAGATGTAGCGACGCGCCCGGGCGGATATTGGCAACTGCGACCCTTCGATCTGCATCGCGAACATACGGGCTTTTCCAGTCCACATCGTACTTTGGATCTGGTGCAATTCTGACATGCCTTTTTCCGTGGAGGAGCTCCCTGTTTTCCTTTGTTTGAATTTGTGCTATATGGAGACGATCTCATTGTGAGTTGACGATGATAGTTGTCGGCTTGATGGTCGGCATTCTACGGGATTCCGAGCGGACGGGCGGCTAGTGGGGTTAAGCAAAGGGAGGCGTCATAGCATTCTGGATCAAATGCAGAAAGGAACAGGATAGTTGTTTCTGTGCCATGGATTGACACGACAACCCATGATTATGATTTGACGCCGTCTTCTTGAAGTCGACTATCTTAGGTTTTGTAAGCCGTGCTGGTACCTAAACAAGATAGTCAGACCATCGTGTTTGCATAGCGCGTCCGCCCTGACGCGTTCATCTCGAGCCTCTAAGCTCACGGCAATATGTGCTTCACGTTGAGGCCCTATATAACACGTTTGAAGAATGTGAGACGCACATCGGTATGGTGGAGAAACCAATACGTTTCCTCCTTGTGCGCGTCGCATAACTCTCACTACTTTTCGGTATCGAAGACCGACGACAGACCGGAAACTCCGAGGAATTGCATTAGGAAGATTATATATGCGTTCGACCCCGTTGAAAACCAATCAGCTTCGTCGTCACGGCCATACTTCTCCTTTCTCAACCCTCAAGCTGTCGCCAACTCGCCCGAACTGCGACATGCGAATTGCATTGTTCCGTCTAGCCTGAAAATACCATGGGTTACATCATTCCCCGCCTCGCTGCAGTCCAAGTACTGGACGGAAGCAGAAGAGGCTGCGAGAGATTTGCTACGGACGATCTTTGTCACGCCTTCGCGAAATGTCTCTGAGAAGTACATCAAAGCCGTGATCGATGCGGCTGCCTCATTCACTGTGAATGTTGCCCCAACAGGAAGCCTATCGAGAACGAGAGCCCTAGCGAGGGCTTATACGCTCGTCTTCATACATGATGGTAAGCGAAGCCGACAATGTACTGTGACGTATCTGACCACTGTTTATAATGTTTCAGACGCTGTTGAGTCGGGAAATGTATGATCTCCAATCTCGTCAGTCCTATCCAGATGTTTGAGTGCTTATCAATAGTAGTTTGATGCAACCATTCCGAATACTTATAACAATAATGAGCGAGGTTCTCATACCGGATTCGATATGGTTGCCCAGGAAGTCATGTCTGAGGATCCTGTGCAAGGCAGGAGATTTCTGGATGCTATGATATCGTGGGGATCTTTTCCACAGACGAAACAGCCCAGCAAAGCCTTCCCGACTCTAATGAACTACTTGAAGCATCGGATAGAGGATGTGGGAGCTTAGTAGGTTGCTGTGATCGTTTGCTACGCTGCCTCACTAACTGTTCCAGCCCCGTCTTTCGCAGCGCGGGATTCGCCTCAGATATCTCAGCCACAGATCAAGATGAACAAGCTCTTGAGCGCCTGAGCTCTCTCTGCGCGAAACATTTTGCATTGACCAACGATCTATACTCATATGCTAAGGAAGTCATCGCCGAAAAAGAGAACGGAGAACCTCTTCTCAACGCTGTCAAGGTCGTAGAAGATTTGTTGAATGTTTCCTCTTCGTCGGCCAAGTCGATACTACGTGGTGTCATATTGGATACCGAGCGGCAGATGGGCGAAGAATATGAGTCTCTTCTCAACACGAAGAGTACGACAGCCACACAGCTGGTCTACGCTCGAGGATTGATCATCGCTGTAGCAGGGAACATGTTCTTCTCGGCTACGAGTTCTCGTTATGCCAGAGCCGTCGACGGATCCAGGCTAGTATAGACTGTCAATATTTGGGAAGTCGTGCATATCAATGAAATTCACAGATTCTGCATCTCGTTCAAAATTTAGCTTCATCTCTATAGGAAACAGCAGATCCAACCTACTGTCGGCGACGAGCTTATGACGAATCGATGATCTTTCTGCCGCAGGCAATGGTAAACCTCTAGTCAATTACGCATAATGTGGTAACAATCAAGCAGAACATTCAATTCATGGCTTCGCTTAATTCGCGCTAGGCGGAAACGGCTAGTCCCACAATTGCGGCCCGGCCAGTTTAAATTCCCGTCTCTCCCCACTTAGCTTTCCCCTCCTCCACCCTTTCCTGCTCCACCACACCTGCCCATGTCTCCTGAGCAGCAACGACGACAACCAAGCTCTATGGAATGTATAGCAGTTGCTTGATCTTACTTAGAAATGGTTTCCTTATTCATTGTCAAGATTGATGTCTGACAATACTTCTTATCCTGTATCTCTCAGTGTAGTCGCGATTCACGTCTCGTGTTGTGTTGACGCGTTTGGAGCTAGCTCCTCCTGTTTTCAATCGACCTTTTGTTCATCAATGTGTTCTCTCTTCTTTCCTTCCTTTCCTTTCCTAATTCCTTTCTCATTCTCTTAATCTAAGGGTATTACACCCCGGCGACGACAAGTTCCCTCATGAAGTCATGTGCGGGTGTCGGTTGCTGTATGCCTCTAATACCCAAATGATCTGGATACCAATAAGCATGTTGGCGCAATCTGAATCATGTAGTGTGTCAGCATGAAAGTCAGTATCCTACATTTCCTCAAACCAAACCCGGGTGGCGCGTTGACAGAGCGTGCTGGGTGGCCAGGACCATTGCCCCCGTCTTGTGCAGTGGGTTCGATTCCCACCATGGGTAATTGTCTCTGTCGTTAACGGCATGGTTCCATGAGAATTGACAAACTTGAAGCTGACTCCGCTTCGTTTTCTCCTCGTCTCACTGCTCAGCCTTCCGGCTATTGTGCGTGATTGAAAGAACTGACTTTGTTTGCCTTTGTTGTCTCAGTTGATACGTTTGGCCCTGAACGTACGACTCATTCAAATATGTCACAAGATTCATCCCTTCTGTCCCTGCATCTCTTCTGTGAGCATGGTTGTCGAGTCTTCACGTCGACCCCGAGTGTATCCTCCGGACGGATGACTGCGATTGTGTCGATTGACGTTGCTGACTTGTTACTGCTCGCATTGACTTTGTGTGCATGATCTTCAGGCTGACCTGGTTACCGTCTTTGTCCGTTGCTTAAGGGAGGCTTCTCGTTGGTAACAGAGCAAGACGCAAGGTAGTTGAACGAAGGCCATGTCGTTGCTATCCTGTCTACGTGGGATTGTGCGCGCGACCTGAGCCTGGTTTCATCAAGGGACTTGACACTGTCATCATGGCACTGCCTTTGATACAAGTTGAACATACGCCCGCTGCCTGATCAGAGTCGCATGGATGTGCTTCTTGCCATTGTCGCATTGGGGTAGCAGCCCCATTGCAGAAACGACGGCATCAAAGCAAAAGAAAGTAGGGTTAGAAAATCGTGTCCCCATGTTACAGCGAGCGTGCGTTCTTATTGTTCGTATGCCCACATGGCTCGACAGACTAGTACTCTATATATGTGGCTCCGACCGATCTCTGTATAATCCTTGCTGATGCCTGACATTCAGGCGCTTGTATGCGTGGTTGTTGGATAACGGAACGACCAAAGTCGTTATATATGACGGCCGCCAGTCGTGCTGATGCCTGTCGTTCAGGCGCTTGTATGCACGGCCACAGGTCTCATGAATTGACGACTCGACTTCCGAGGAGATTGGCACTCACGCCATGCTATTGTTTTGGGGAATTGCATTGTGCAGTTCTCCCGCACAATACTGGCGGCGCCTTGGTTTTTGTCGCCAAGGTATGATAAACAACTAGTTTCCCTTCCTATGGGGTCCGTTCGAGGCTGCATAGAACTTGGGATGCGCCAGTGTCTACCGTCGGCGTTGCAGATTTTGGCTACTTCGTGTTTGGCGCGAACCGCCTGTCTACTGTACCCTGACCTTGCGTTCGGTTGGTCTCTCGCCATGGCTCTCTGTCTCGACTGCTTTCTCAGTAGTTTCTTTCGGGGCTCGGAGTTTCCCGAGTTCATCGAATTTTTGTTTTGAATCATTCAGATCTTTCCGAATATGCGGGCCATGCGGGTCTCACGTTTCTGTGGGTTGTGTGAGCTTGCAGTTCTAAGGGTCCTGGGGGATTTGGGTAGGAGTGGCGAGCAGGGTTCGACTCCTTGTTAGCAGCGCCCGGCTGGGGGCAAAGCACCTCCTTCCCGTCGGTCTCGAGCCGGCAAAAACAAAAACAATATCGCTGCTATTACGTTTTCCTATTTGTGCCATTGAGGATCGTTATCGACGCTAACAATACTTGTTTTTAGTCCCCGCTGAAGCTTCTTTATTGTTCAAAAATCGACTTCCATCCCGACCTTCTGCCTCCTCAAACGTTGCAACCGTCCCCGGACATGGTCTCTCGTCCTCTCCAATGATCAAAGAGAAACTGGTCCGGATTGACGATGGACGGGGATACTAGTGGATGCCTTTTCGTTGTCGGTTGACGTGGTATAGGGGTCCGTATTGTGCCTGGCGGATTTCGACTCCTCGGTCCTCTCGCCCACCTGATACTATTGATGCACGACCAATTTGCCGCATGCGCGTCTCAAGAGCATTAAGAAGCTCCGCAATGGTCTTTCGCTCGGCCCCGCACACAGGCGTGTTTCACGACGACTACCTGTAATGGACATACCTGAACAACCTCAGCCCCCAGGTTGAGTGTCAGTGACATCTATTTCAATACCTCGATGTCGTTCTCCGGCTGACTGCGACGGCCGCGTGTGGATGACTTGGATTGGCTGTCTCACTTGTCTCTCTATCAGGATACTCTACTAGTACAGGTCTTTACTATCCCATTCTCATTGCTCGACCTTTCGGAATCCTTGAGGGTCCCGCACCGTACATACGGGTACAACGCAATCGAATCAATGAAACGTATATAGGTCAGTGGACTCGCAACCGGGTTCCACTCCCGATGTTGAAGTGGTGTTAGTTGGAAATAATGAATCGACATACTGAAAAGGAGCTTGACTCCAGCACAGATCGTGAATATATGTCATTGTATATAATCATCAACACATAGAACCACTTGACCCTATCCTTGAAAAGTACCAGAGCAGTATCCATCAGGCGATAAATTCCCAGCACAAGAAATAGAGTTGATATCAGGATACAAATTCCAAACTCCACAAGCGTTATGGAACCGCCTGTGGCGCGAACTGGGACCACCGAAAATCTCTGCAAATTAGACTTTCGAAGTCCTAAGTCTAGCGCGATCTTATCCATTACCATCTGCCATCCTGATTTCCTGAAGAAACTTGTTAATGTCCTTCTTACTTCTGCTACAACCCTTGTTGAACGAACTATGCATTCCGTTAGCAAGGGTTGAATCCGGTCGCAAACGAGGACACCAATTCAACACATCAGACTGCCACAGATCATTCATACTCATACCCGAGCCGAAGTGGGAAGAGCAAATTATTCGCAGACTAACAAATTTTATTCGCAAAATTTGTGCAACTGATTAAATCCTTTTCAACAGGATTGCTTCGTCAAAATTTACGTGGCGATATGAATTGTAAAACTAGACTAACATTACTAACTACGGACGCGTAGCTCAGTTGGTTAGAGCGACGAGCTTATGAGGTCGTTTGTGATCCTCGTAGGTCGGGAGTTCGACTCTCCCCGTGTCCATGTTTTTTATTTTCTTTTTGTTGTGTTTGACGCACTCGCCGCCCCTTACCTCATCCAGGTTTCAATTCATTTACTCGTTTATTGCTGCTATATTTCATGAGAAATTATGATATCCTCGTGTGATAGTTCTGATCTATTACTGCTTCTCGTTGCAAACCAGGTGACGCTCTGTCCGTTAGCATTGAGCAGTTCTCAACCCATTCTTATTGACCTTCTCAGGCACAGAAGTATATGGAGTAGTGGCCATACCACTTAGTCGTGCACTTCGACAGAATCATGTCTAATGGTAGCGCTACTCTGTGGCGAAGTCGTCTGTCAGGGGAAGACTGCTAACTATTGTCAAGCTACGTAGCTAAGCTAAGCTGTTCATAAACAACCTGGAGCCACGTGACCGTGGACATACAACAACATCCCCGATGAGGAAAGGAAAAAACGGAAAAGGGAAACCATACGTCCTCGTTAAAGAACATTAGCAATGGAAAAACATGTCAATCATCTATCAAACGAATAAAGACGAGGCATTATACGAATCAACTTGGCGGAGGATGTTGTTGGCAGTTGAACCAGGAGTTGAGGCGCGGTCAGACAGGACAACAGAGTGGTAGGTCTGAAGGGACATAAAGGTGTCGATGCCAGGATAAACCACACAACTGAAGTAGAATGATGCGCTGACGGGAATCATAAAATAACGCAGGGAGAGAAGTGGTAAAACCTGGATATCACTGAAGCAGGAAGGCGTAAGACGCAGCCGTAAACGGCCGCTGCAGGTAAAACAAAAGAAGAAGGTGTTGGCGGAGTGGTCACTGTGTACCAAATGTAAAACTAGGATGTCTTATAAGACAAGGGAGAGAAGAACACATGCCAAAAGGATAGAGCAACAAGGGAGGGGTCTTAATGTATCATGCAAAGAAGGTGGGGTGTGTCTCCTTTGTGGCACCAAGTTGCTCGAGAGCTTTTATCACGCATGTCCTGCCCTTGGCAGTGATCGCCCAATCATCAACGCCTTTCGATGAAAGTGCGCTTCTGCCAGTGGCATTATAGGTGAAGTACCACTGTTCGATGCGTATAAGTGCCTTCATTGCTTTGTCGCTAAACAATGAGTCCTTGGTATATCCTGTCGCTTTTGCTAGGGTGCGTTGTAGCGCAATTGCCGGTTTGCCCCACGGGAAGGCCGTGAGGTCCTCATCAATTCTTAGTTTCGTCACTCCCAACTGTTTAAGAGAGGCTGGCCATGCGGTACGATTACTGTCAATATGCTGAGGGAGATTGTACTTTTCGAGTAGGTCCTCGTCTGGCCCGGGTAGACCACCAGCATCCCAGACTGCGTGTCTATAAGCTACCCAGTCCAGATAGAGTGAGAGGTTGTCGGGCAATGTGAGTTGTTTGGTGTCTTCATCTTCATCATCACTAAGCTTGGAGAAAAATCGTTTCTTGTGGCTGGCACCCGTCATGCTTCGAGTCTGGAGTTTGGTAAGGTCAGAGATGGCCTGATTAACCTTGTCGATCGATGACCGTAGATCCTTCAGCCGTTGTGGCACAAATTGGGGTAAGGGGGCCCCGCGCGGTCTGTTCCATTGCAAGGGATATACTGGGCGCTTGTCTGGCACTGTTACATCGCCATAATAGAACGCATCAAATTCGCCATCGTCTTCCTTGCGCAGCTGTTGCTTTTCCCATGTACGGATTTTTGCCATAGTCTTGTCGTCGTGGATTGGCGAGAGCTTGGCCTGGTGGATTGATGACAGTAAAGCCACCTCCCATGCTCGTTGTTCATTACGAAAATGGACCATCTTAAATGTGTACTCGCTGTAGGCTTGTTCAAGTTGCATAATCTGTCCTTCAAATGATGATTTCGCTAGCTTGAGCCGATTGATATCGCTGTTGTACGACGGGAGCAGACAGCAGTCCTCTGATCTCACTGTTTTTCCTGTGGAATCACATAGCTCATACCAAGGCGAGCAGGTCTTTGCTTTTAGGAATATTGTGGTGTATGCTAATCGGTAAAAACAATTATGCGAGTTGTTGTAGCTGTACGGCAAGTCTTTGATAATGCCAACCGGTGTCATTCGAACCTTTTCTTCCTGGAATTTCGGGACAGACGGCGGTGCAGATGTCAATGGAAATTTGGCAAAATCGACAGTAACACGCCATTCGTGTGGCATGAATATGAAAGGGTCGTAATCAAGGTCTTGCGCCACTTTCTGAGAGTCCTGAGTGCGCTTTTCCAGAATAGCAACTGCCTCAGCAGCTGCACTACCCTTGTTCTTCTTCGCAGGTGTACGTTTTGCTCCCATATTGTAATCGTCAGTGGTGTCAATATTGTGCAGCGTAGACTCTGCGATAAGCGAGGTATTAGTCGTAGGCTCTACAACGGACTCGCCTGTGGTAGGTTGTTCACGCCGTTCCGTAGGAGACGGGGGGCTCAAGTGTCAGAGGAAGAACTCAGCCAAACAATGCTCGGTCAACTTGTGCAAAAAACGTATCAAGTTGGGTTCTGAATGATCGACTCGGAGAAACCGTAGGCGGTGCCTCAACTATCAGGGCGGGAGATGAAAGAGGCGATTCCGTCTGAGTGAGGCTGGTAGATGAGGTGTGCAAAGAAGAAGTGTTGTGCGAGGGTGCGACAAAAGATATAGTCAACTGTCCTAGTAGGAGAGTGAGCCAGATGCAAATAGCCATGATGCTTAAACATTGAATAGGCAAAGAAAAAGCAACACAAAGAATCACTGAAAGAAACATGTGGGACTAGCCATACAGAAACAACCATATTTGGTGTGCAAGCATTCCTGGATCCTTGAGGTGGACTTGCAAGCAGCTAAAGGATTCACGTTCCTTGCCAGTAACATCATCCAAAGGCATCGTTCTGTGTAAAAAACGGACGTGCCTTTCCCTTCCTGGGACCTTGACTCAGTAGCCATGTTTTGCGGTCTTGCAGCCGCTGGAGGATTGGTGAATAGCAGGGAACGTAAGTCTGCATCCAGCCGGTTAGCCCAACATACATATCAAGATCCTCTAATATAGCAAGAACTTCAGCTTCGAATGGCAGCAAGCTTGCCTTCAGCGGCTGTCGTTCCAAGCGATGACACATTCTGCCCCAGCGCCTGCACCGACGAAGGCCACGAACGGCTTTTTTCGGACTGAGAGTAATGCTCATTTGAGCGCATTTTTAAGGAACTCCATGCCGTGGTTCTAAGCTATGATCTAATTCAAATGAGACTAACAGACAAGCATTTACTCTACGAAGCTAGAACGGAAACAGTGCACTGACAAGTATACAGAGATATCAATTATTAAAACTATATTGCGTACAGACGGATCCAAGCCGATGACCCGGACCCGACGGTCGATTAACAAGTACAAAGATCGGATGGAAAGCCGACAAGCCCGATGGTGTCATTGCCATTGTCCTCGCGTAACGCTCTCATGAACCGATCGTTGGAACCCTGGTCTTGCCTCGTGAATGATCATCATCAACGTTTCCATCGCATCATTGCTTTGCTCTCCGCCCGTCCGTCGTCCGACTTGTGCTTGACAAGAGTCAACAGTCAAGGTCAGAAATGGGACGCTTAGAAAGCGACGGCAATGGCGGCAGCGACGACGGCACCGCCGAGAGTGTAGCTGAAGTGCTCCTTGCTGGCAGCGCCAGTGGCGAGGAGGTTGGTGCTGGTGGAGGCAGGGCCGCTCTTGGTGGGGGTAGCGCTGCCGGAGTGGCTAGCAGAGGCGCTGCCAGAGGCGGTGCCGGTGGGGATGACGGCGGTGGAAGTGGCCGTCTTGGTGGCGGTGCCGGTGGCGGTCTTGGTCTCAGTAGCAGTGGCAGTCTTGGTCTCAGTGGCAGAGGCAGAAGCGGAGGAAGAAGAGCCGGTGGAGCTAGCGGCGTCCTTGTAGGAGTCGATACCCTTCTGGATGGCGGCGGTGATGCCAGCGGAGAGCTGAGCGGCGATGTCAGAGAGGGACTCGGGGACCTTGGCGGAGATGGCCTTGGCCAGGTTGTCGGCGGCGGTGTACTGAGACTGGAGGTCCTGGTAGACGGTGCCACCGGCGCCGGCAGCGACGAACTTGTCCTTCTTGGAGATGAGGTCGTTGACGACGCCCTGGACCTGCTTGGTCAAGTCCTGGACGGGCGAGGTCAGGGCCAGAGCATCGGCGGTGCTGAGGGCAGGGCCGCTCTTGACGGTGTCGACACCGGTGTTGATGGTGCTGACGAGCTTCTCAGAGGCGGACTTGACGGCCGAGGGGTCACCACCGCTGTAGGAGGAGACGGCGGAGGCCAGAGCAGAGGTCTGGGCCTGGATGTCGGAGATGACACCGACGGCACCGCCCTGACGAGAGACCAGAGTGGGCGTGGCCAGGGCACCGGTGAGGCCGAGAGTGACGAGGAGGGCAGAGAAACGCATCTTGACCAAGGGTGGTATTATAGATTAGTTGTATCTAAAAAAAAATGTAGTGTATAGGTGGACAGAATCGAGTGAGCCAAACGAATGGGATCGACCGAGCAAGCGAAAGACTGGATCTGATTTTCTTTGGGATCTGAGAGACAAGAGGAAGAAGGGATCGAGCAGTGACTTGGGAGGTTGTATATATAGGGCCTGGTACAGGGATTTAAGATTAAACCTCACATGCACGGGGGAAAGTAAACTACGGACTTGAACTTGGGACCGAGGAAAGTCGGATCAGGGGCAGCTTCCCGGATTCTAGCCATGGATGACTATTCTTAGATGATGGCGACGAATTGACTGGACTCTAATGCTACAGGAGGTACTTTCGAGCCTCTCGTTGCCAATCACGAATGAGTGGCCGGGGTCTGGGGAAGCGCAACGAGGGATTAATCATTGTTTGGAGGGATGGGGCAAGATCGTCGGTCTGGACTCTGTTTGATTCCAGTCGACAGTCAGATCATGGCCTGTTGATCCTCAGCCTGGGTTGCTACTCGATGGCTAGGGAGGGCTGGAAAAGCAGACCTTTGCTCCAGTCAATATCCATGGATACCTAAGGAACCACCATACGGTCACACCCGAATAGGACAATCCTCCGTAGCTACCATGTTAGCGCTGCAACATTGATCTGTTTCGCGTTCGAGATTGGTAGAGTCGCTGCACTAATGGGCTAGTCCCTGGGCACTAAGTGATAAACAGTAAGGACTGCTTATCACCTCATAACCCCGGTCCCGCCCCCGGATCCTCATTTGCTCCTCTATCGGAACTCGGGTTCGTCGTAAGCGATGTTGTTTAGTGCCGGTGTGGATGACTGGATGGAAGGAGGAGAGTGAGACATGGAGAATGTTACCCCGCAGCCCACTCTGACTGGCCCTTTCCATGATTCGGTTGGATGATCTTTCTCGCGCTTTCAGTGGCGAAGACCAATTTTTTAGTCACTTGATGCAAACTATCGAGCAGAGACAAGGATCCGGAAATTACTCAATTCTATCCGTAAAATGCCTTAGAAGGTGGTGTGATGTTGGTTCAGATTGCCTAATAATAATGCAAGTGATTTCTTTCCCCATCCTCTCCCCAGACAACAAATGCATCGGTTTGGATCTGCATCTTGGTCTAATTCTTTATCAATGCGTATGATCTCCGATTTCGATCCTACCTGAAAACGAGATCGAGTTACACGCTCTCCTTCATTCTCGAGACAATCGTGTTACCCCGTATTTCCCCTCGGAAATCCACCTCGGTTCCTCGTGCCTGGGCGTGGAGCCTTGGACCCTCATCTGGCTGTAAGCTTGCGAAAGTGGCGGAAGTTCGGATCCGCCAAGTGTACCAACCAGGGGCCCTGGGAAGACAAATTTGCGTGCGCCCTTCTGAGCTACTGCTGACTTGTAAGGTTGTAACTGTTTACTACTCCATAATGTATTGCGTTGGATTCAGTACCTGGCAGACTGCTGTCATTCCTTGGTGGTGATTGGTGATCTGCATTCGCACAGGTACATGGTAGTAAATAAGTGTCAATAGTAAGACCTGACCAATACTGGCCTCAACTCCGCGGTGGCTCCAGCTTGGACTACAGACTACAGCAGAGTGGGTTCAGGATCGGACTTCAAGCTGCAGGAGCCGTGCACAGTCTCAGCGTTCACTGAGACTACTGAGCTTAGTCCAAAATACCAAGCCATCTGTCAATAGTTCGGCTGACTTGCAGTAAATCCGGGTTTGGTGGCACGAAGGACTGGGCTCGAAGAGTTGGATTTCCCTATTGAAGATTGACGCCTATTCTCGAACCTTCGACTTATGTCTCCTAAACGCCTAGATACATGACGTTCTGAAGTCTGGAATCTTGACACTTTGTAAATTCTCCATATGACTGCTGTCCTTATTGCTCCGCTCAGTCACCGAGACATTCGCACAGCTTTCCCAATAGGACATGGTCTGTCCTGGCCCCAAATTGCAAATTGATTGATTGGGCTCCAAGACCTGCCAGGAGCAGGGGTGGCGGCCGTTAGGCCCAACTCTTAGCCAGGGCAACTGATGCAACGACGAGTCAGAACATAGAGCACGGGCAGGATGGTGGCGAAAATACGCATTTTAATTCCAAGTTCTGGCATAGGGTTTCTGGGGGCCTGCGTTGGTCAGACGCCAACATCCGCTAGACCAGCCTCCTCCGTTTCTGTGAGTCAGCCTAGGTACTAAAACGGTTACCTTGCGGCATTGACAGAGTTGAATGCTTAGCGCTCCTTTTGGTCTGTTCGTTCTTTCTCGTACCAAGATCGTCATTTGTCGCCCCTTAATATACCCTGTCCGAGTAGAGCTGATGGCAGGAAGGAAGGAAAGTTGTCGTCAAATCGCGTCATGTTAGTATATAGAGGACATGTGATCGTCTGAACTTTATGGACGGGCCTTAATGTAGTGACAATGCGTGGCCTAAAGATCCTTTACCGCTGTTGAATGCACGTCTGATCTCAGAAAGCGTTATGTTGTTGCAACATTGCGAGATGCTCAAAATCAGGTAGTGTCTCATACTCCGGCATGAGCGGGCTCAGGAATCACTGATCTTAACTGATACATCGCTCGAAACAGGATTCTGTCGATCACACAAAGCCTGATCGTGGCCGCCCGCCCTGTGTCGCAAAATTAGAGCAGGAAGACGGGAGTTTGATCGTCTTTGAGCTCAAACAGCCACAAGAAAATTCCCAATCGTGCTTGGAATTCACTTACGTTGCTTCCCTATACCATCGTCTTCTCCCACGTGGGGAATATCTGTCTTCCAATTTGTGACTGCGCAAGACGATGTGTTCCCTTAGAAAGGAATGTGTCTGAGACTTGAAACTCCAAGCGGAAACCTTCACAAATTCTCAATAGCCTGAAACAGACATGGCTTGTCTTGACAGGGTATTATCTTCTCCACTACACAGTGCCAGTGTAGTGCAGCAACAAGCCAGATTGGCGGCTAGCAATCTGATTACCGCAATGGCAACAGCCCCGATGTGATCCGACAGGATATCGCTCGACGACGGTTTCCTTGTCTCGCAGACAGAAATGGCCACTCATTTGGTATGTTCTGATAGCTGCTGGTTATCGACCCTGCCTTAGGGTCGGTGGTGCATGGACTCCCCCATGCTCAAGCTCCTGCCAAGTGTTTACCTCTGTTTCGCAGAATCTGATAGTCGATAAACAAGTCCCCCAACCCACAGGAGCAAGAGGAAGACGCTTACAGCAGTCAATGGATACTAGCCGTCAATAGCACGGCTTCAACCTCCCATTCTGTGAATTGGGTTTCTGTACCTTGGAACTTGACGCGCTGTCAGGTAGAAAGCTCCGGAATCGGTGGTTCAAATTCAGCTCAGGTGTGTGGTCGATGTTAGAGGCAGCAGCATCACGAGGCTCATGCAGCCTTGGAATTCTCCTCCATCGCACATGGGCGAATGCGACGCAGTATATTCTTCCATTGTTTGAGTGCTTGTCAAAGGGGGTCTGGCATCTCATAGTTCTCTCTTGCAAATTTCGCGCTCCCCTCCTTCTCTTGACCTCGACGAACTGTTTAGAGGGAACTAATACGGCGATGTATCTTTCAGTTTGGACACCGCGCGCTCCTTGAAAGAGTCCATGAGCCTCCGATCGTGATAGACTCGAGAGTGCAATGGCGCCGTTCACCCTCGAGCCCATTCGTTCCGGTTCGATTCATTGTTTTTATTTGGCCTGGATGCTGCTTGGTCCTTCCCATGGGTTGTTGACTTCGATCAAAACGACGGATTCCAGGCAGGATACGCTCTCATCCTTGTCCGTCATCCTGTTGTCCGTGGGGTCTATGCTAGACCGCTGGGTCCCAGAGCCTTTCGCTCCTCTGTGATTGAATATGATTCGTATTCTCGCTGAATCATGCAGACGGTTGGACCCCCGTGGTTCGTAGGTTCCACTGGATACAATCCAGGAACGTCGAAAGGGAGATCATCTCAGATCCTTCCTCCCATGCAACTATGGCACCTTTTGCTTCGCGTTCATGTGACCCTTGGCTCATGCCTGTTTATTGCCAGAAAACAGCGCAATGCAAGGATCCATCAAGCATGTATTTCGCTCCGACGCGCGAGCCACTCCCAGCGTCTGATCCAGTCGCTTTCGCGCCTGAAGGATGCTGGGCGCTGTAGTACTCTCGCATTAGGAGTCATTGGACGGATGATATTCTCCATGAAGGAGGTTATTTGATCCAAGTCGAAGTTGTGACCCGTTAGGGTCACTCAGGCCAGCGATTAGACACCCGTAGGCAAATTTTCTACTTCAGAGCAGAAGGAAGGGAGACCTGTCGATCACGTTGTTCGTTAGCCCTGCATCGTGTAACAATCTCACCTTACTGAAAATTGCCTGATGTCTCTGTAGAACTTCCTACACAGACTCCATTGTCATACCGGCTTGCCCATTGGGGTCGACTGTACTTCACCTGCTACGAGATGATGGACCTGATATCCTAGAAACTTACCAAGCTCATTATTTATGGTATAATTCCATGTCGCTTGAATAGACATAATATAGCTCGATTGTGGGCTGCAGCTCATATTCGCCAGCGCGAAAGAGATGCTATGATAAGCACGAGCGATGTGGGGCGAAGGGTCAGCACGTAGATAAGCAACCAAGCAGTTGATAAGGCAAGTAGTCTTGATAGCAATTCTCACTCGAGCAGGATAATTTTCATCGATCATTGGCCGACTGGGACGAATCGCTCAGCTCCATGGGCAGATGAGAAAGAGCCCTCGCGGTAGGCATATCCACTTGCTTAGTTGTGCTCCTTGCATCAATGTTCCGAGGATGCGATATATACCTTCACGGTTCCGTTCGACGCAGAACGTTTCTTGCAAAATCTACTTTATACATATACGCAGTAGACAACTAAAGTAAAAAGAAAACGGTCCACAAGAAGTGTAGGTCTGTGCATATATATCTAGCTGAAAGACACATTGGAGATATCTCCTCGTTGAAGCTATGTCTAAAGTCTCAAGGCAGAAGAAACAGGTCCAGCAGATTATCCGGGATTTTCAGAGCATAAGGGCTGGGAGGATATACATCCGTCAAGGGAATCATCTTTATCATATATGACCTTCTCAGAAGACTTGTTCAACTCCAAAACTACCCAATAAGTAAGGATATGGACTGAACCACGGGTATAAATCATCATTGAATTGATTTTAGGAGCAGTTCGCTGAACGTAGACAGACGGACACAAACAATCGATCGTCTACAGCCAGCAGCCGTCTGAATCCTAGCTCAAGTGCAAGCGACAAAGTTGTTTCCACTGGCCCCGGTATGTGTAATAACACCAGCCAGCTGATCATTGCTGTTGAAGACAACGCGGTCCGCACCAGGCGAACCTCCGCTGTAGATCTTTCCGGAGCTCAGGATAGGCCACTCATAGTAGGGGCTGGAGACAGGGAAGTCGAAGCCCTCGTAGTTGTTGTACTTGTGGGGGTAGTTGTTGCTGCCGACGGTCTCGTCCGAGGAGTAGAGCTGATAACCGGCATCCTGAGCGGCGCTCACGGCGCTCGCGCTGTAGCAGTGGCTGCCACAGGTGTAGGCGCAGGCACGGGTGTCGATTTCAGTAGGGGCGGCCAGGACAGGAGCGAGCAGCAGGGCTGCGACGGTGATGAGCTAGTTGGTCTGTTAGGATGGTGGAACGCTTATCTGGGTCGAGGTGTAGGGGTGTATCGGCGACCTACCTTGTTGTACAACATATTGATCGACAGGGAAATGTGGAGGATCTTCAGAGGGTCTGATCAGAGCTATGTTACTTGGTACGAAACTTTGAGATCCAGTGGGAATATCAGGCTTAAATATTCTCGTTTCCTGGTCGTCCAGACGTCGTTGGTCGCTCGGATTCCCCGACTTTATAGACTGTACAGCATCAAGCCAGCCGTGTATCGCGATAGTCGATACGATTAACCACCACCCGGGGTTACATTTCGGTGCTCTCCGCAAGAACACTGAATGACCGATACGGCAGAGGTGATGCCGATCCCGTCAGAATGCAGATCATATCTGGACGACGACGCCGCTTGGCCGCAAATTCGAAACAGTCCAGTCTCCCTGTCGAGCGAATCGTAGATTGCTCAGTGTCTGTGGTTGGATAGTCCACATCCCGTGATGAAGTGAATGGCGGCCAAAGCATCGGGAGATAGAAAGGAGAACCCCTCGCTGTAATCCCGTTGGCCCAGAGCGCGGTCTGATTCGATGTGAGGAGGTTATCAGTCGGTGCTTATCCGAGACGCTAGTCGATGGTCTGCAGAATAACTCGACAAGGATTGTCCAATCACTTGGCATTCCGGATATCACGATGTTGATCTGATGGCCTTGAGTGTTCTTTGCAGGGATCCTCCACCCGTCAATTCAGGTCCTCATATACCAGAATGGATCCAGGTCGAAGCGGATTTCGTCTCTTCCTACGGACGGGTTCGATGAACCCATTAAGAGAATCATTCTCAGCCATGCACTTCCCCACGACGACCATGATCGTCTTGGAATCTAAAAATCAGAGAAAGTTTTCCACTGGAATCTCCGACGGAAATCCGCCATCGCGGCCCGCATCCTAACGTGGACCGCTCCCGTTTATCAAGGACGTTAATTTGTAACCCGCCTTGGAGCCCAGCTTTCTACTCTGAATCATGCATAGATATCTGCGACTTCGGCTCGTATACGGTCGGTTGTTGGTGGAATAACTTCGTCCTGTTAATTCAGGTTTACAGGCCGATAGCTGACGTGTACGATAGCAGGAGCCGAGGTCTATCCAAAGTATCAAGCAGTAACTGAATAAACCTGAGTTACCTGAGCACGTTGAATTGATCTAACAGCTATCGGTTAATTCTGAGGTACTCTATATCGATTCCTCAGCCAACGACAACGGCCAATACTCGAGGCCACCATGACTTATGCTTCTTGACCTGCGGTTCATCCGCCTGCTCTCCGTCTGGCGACTCCCTCCTCCCTGTCCAGATATCCATCTCTTCCAGCTTCACCAACCTAGTCTTGTGCCAGAATTTATAGCCCAAAACAAACATGGCAAACACAGGAAGCAATATATAGTTGATCACAAAATCGTCCGCGCTGAAGGGATTTAAGAACGCCGTGTATCCTTGGAAGAACACTAAGAAGATATTCAGTGCGACGGCGAAGTATGTGCCCCACGGATACAGCCATGCCTTAAAGGGCAGATTCGCAGGATCTTCTCCCTGCACGACTAAGGCTTGACGGAAGCGAATATGGCAGATTCCGATTACGGCCCAGACGATGAATGTCGCCACTGTCACTCGTTAAAAGACAAGAACCGAGGATGAGGAGTCAACTCACCACCGGACAAAGTGATCAAGGCCGAGTAGATCTTTCCAGCCCCCGAAGACTGTGTCAGGAACACAATACAGGAAAAGAGGTTGGAGAATATCAACGCAACCCAGGGTACCCCTGCTCTATTGGTGCGTCCGATGAATCGAGGTGCTTTGTCATTACGAGCCATGAAGAGCAAAGTCCGAGACGCTACGTAGAGGGAACCGTTTCCTGCAGATATGACGCTGATCACAATGAGCGCGTTGATCAGATGAGCTGCAGGCAAAATACCAGCATCCGTCAATGCGATTGTCAAGGGAGAGCTTGCTGCGTTGGAGCTTGAGCCCAGCAGTCGCTTGTCATTGTACGGAAGCAGTATTCCGATGAAGAACATCGTTCCTATAGCAGTCAGTAGACCGAGACTAAGTTAGTTGATGACATTTTCTCACCGATATAGAAAATCAGAATCCGCCAAAACACCTGGCGGATGGCTGTCGGGACGGCTTTGCGTGGATTTGCCGATTCCCCTGCAGTAACGCCAACCCTACGCCATCAACACTGGTACTTCGCGTCTGTAATTCAACCGTGTGACTTACATCTCTGTACCCGCATATAACGTTCCAGCAACGACAAAAGTTCGAGCAACGCCGTTGATAGAGTCCGCAAAAGGCCCTGGATCATGCCAGTACTTGAATCCAATTGGCTGAGGCCCTACCCCCCCTGTACTGATGCAAATCGCCAGTATAAAGAACGCAATGAGGGCCAGTATTTTGATTCTGGTAATAGTCAATCCAATGCACGTAGGGAGATCCGCAGGAAGCATACAATGACAGCCAAAATTCCATCTCGCCATAGGCCAAAACGCCGAGATTAGACAGACCCAAAAATAGGAACCAAAATATGAGTATCCAACCCCATTGAGGTACTGCATCAGTCCAGTATCCTATAACAAGCGAGATGGCATTGTATTCATTGGCAAGGACCTAAAGTAGTCAGGTCTGACTGTCACAGTAGAAGAGCAAGTTCGGCCTACCGTCACCCATAGATACCAGTAAGCCCATCCTAACCCAAAAGCAAGAGAATCATCTATGAAACGCTGCGCATACTCGGTGAAGGAGCCAGTTACCGGAATGAGTGTAGCCATTTCGCCCAAGGATTGCCTAGCTCATCAGCCATGGTTATTCAGAGACTCGGCTAGAACTTACATGACGAAGAAAACTATGATACCAACCAGAGAAAAGCTGATCAACACGCCAGCTGGACCTCCCTTGCTGAGGGCATTGCCCGAACCCACCAGCAAGCCGGGTCCAATGATTCCTGGCTTGACGTTAGGAGCGCATTCGCTTGCGCATTAGAGCGAGACATACCTCCGATAGCGATCATCTGCAAATGTCTCGACCGCAGATGTCGCTTCAATGGCGCTGCCAACACATCATCTGGGCCTTCTCCCGCATGGGTCGCCGCGAAACGAGATCGACTGCCCTCCTCGTCCCAAACCTGACTTTCTGTTCCAAAAGTGACCTCATCCTTGGTCGATTTCACTGCCATTGGCTACCGCCTGCAATCTCTCGGACTTCCTGGTTTTGCTGATAGAATTGGCTCGCGGACAGAGCGACGAAATAGGGACAGCGAGATTTTGTAGACACGATTTGACTGCCTCCCTGCACTATTAAGCTGAAATCTCAGATTCAGTCAAGAAGCACGTGGGTTACATCCGTCGTCATTGGCAGGGACAAACCACGCTCATTTGTCGGTGATGTCGTGATATTTTCGTAGCGGAGCGTTATCACCCAGATCGTCGCCCCCACCATGTTATCGACATGTCCAACCCCGCCGTCATTCGGTTGCAATATTCTGATAGAAGTCAGAACTTCTGGGAGTGATGGAGGAATACAACTTTGTTCATTCGAATTGCACAGTATCTTCATTTGGTGCGCCAGTGGAAATCAGCCTGACTGAAGATTCGTACCCTTGTTACACGCTCAAGTTTCCCCTGATCAGCTTCTCGGAAAGCCAAGAAGCGGAACTGAAAACAGCGCCTTCAAGAGCAATCTTGGCCGCTATACGAGTAGCCAAGATCCTTCTCTAATCGCCATTATCATGATGTATTGCGCCATAGCTTCACCTTTTTGTGGAGAAGCACGGTATAGTTGACTCGGCTCGAACATCTTTGCGATACCGCATATACGTAGCGCAAACATCGTAGGTGCCCTGCATCATGAGAAAACGAACGCTTAGACGATCAATATGGCGGGTTATGCGTGCTGTCGGCTGACTGTGCAACATCCCGTGGACGATATAAGTCTCGGTTGGTAAAACATGCGAGAACAATTATTACACATGTATTCATTCATTAGATTCCTTGACTCCTAGCCTTCAAAGTCAGCCACATCAACTTTCTCAAGCTTCATTAACGTAAGAGTCAAAGGCTTTTTCAGTCAAGTTACTAGGTGTAGGAATCATTTACGCTTGCGTTGTCTGCATGCGCTGTGGCGTCTTGAGATGAGCCAGTGTCTAGTTGAGGCCAACTTCACTCTGGGAAGTATGGATGAAGGCTAAAGCGAGGTAGGGAGCAAAAGCGTCGTGTCTCGGAAAGATAAAGGATTTGGTGTTTAGGATTTTGTCAGTTGCTCGATACGAGGACTATTAGCGATGCAAGCATATGTATGATTCCTCCAAACTTAGCGAAGATGTGTGCAAAGAGATTGAGCCAGGATCCACGTCCGATGGTCGAGATGGCATTCTGTCACATGGCTCCATAGGTCTTGCTGGGATTAACATCGCATGGCCAAAAATAATTTACACTCAAATAACTGCATCATCCGTGAATTAAACAAGAAGTTCCTAAATTTGTTTTCATAGATACATCGAAAATAATTATGGATAGGCCAGCTCTTCCAAATATTCTTTCTCAGTCAGTTGACATTGCCGTCATGATCCATACTCAACCCTGGACCTTCGAAGCAAGAAATTTGGCAGCATCAGCTGCGTCCTCTCCATAGCTCAAGTGAGCCGGGGTGATAATCAGTGTATTATCACAAACCAGGTCGCCAACAGCGCAATAGATCTTGGTCTGGTCCTTGGGGTAACCCGGGATTTGTCCTTTGTCGACCACATTACGAGTGAAGCCAAAAAGGACCACTCCCTTGACCTTAGCTTTCAGACCACTGTCAAGCGCCTGAATCGAGTTATCTATGACGGCAGAACCTTGGCTGTTGAATTAGGTTAGCGGCGGGTCTTCACCGTTTCAGACGCAGAGGATATACCTGTATCCACCCGCCACAATCTTCGTATTCGGGCACTTGGTGTTGGCCAAGTCGAACATATCTGTGGCTGCATCGATGGATGCCTGATCCGTGTTCTGAGAAAGGAAGTTGGGGGCTAAATGGGCGGTATATGCGCCTCCCACGCCCTGACA